CTAACTAGTAGTAGTAGTAGTAGTAGTAGTAGTAGTAGTAGTAGTAGTAGTAGTAGTAGTAGTAGTAGTAGTAGTAATAGTAGAAGTAATAGTAGTTTACTTATTCACTAAACAATTCACATAAACAAATCATATTATTTAATAAAATGTCAACTAAAATAGATAAGATGAAATGACAATTCGTAAAATACTTTATTTATCATCAAAACAAAACACGAATGGTTTAAACAAAGCAAAAAAAATCCGTTTGTTCAATTTATCTGTCACACATTCGATAATAAACAATCGCTTATTGAATTTCGTTATACAAAGAATAAAATTCAATGAAAGCTACAGCCAATATGTTTCTCTTTATATATAGAGATTAGAAAATAGAATTGATTAAATGCCGAGAAAATCAATCAACAAAAACAGCAAATAAATAAATGCTTATGGTTAAAAGCTAGTTCTATCCAAAAGATTTCAAGAAGCCTATTAAACTTACTTACGCATGCATGTTGCCCCCGATGGAGTATAGGTCACCGAACAGCATTCTCCCAACTAACTCTATTATGGGTTTTCGTTTCCAGTTCTACTTAATTACTATTCTTTCTTCTGAGGTCTGTCTCCGATTTTCGGCGAAGTGTGTTGATTAGCTTTCGTTTTTTTCGTTTAGTTTTGAAGATTCTAACTTAGGGTTTGTCTCGTGAAGTAGTTGGGTGTGACTTTCTCAATGTGTATCCTATCCACCTTCAGCAATTTTTCTTAATTTCCTCCACAGTAGGTTGGTATTGATGGTGTCTGTTCAACCGATTCGAAGAACATTAATATGCATAGCTTTTGTGGAGTGTTGTTTCGATTCTGTTTTTCTGAATTACTAACAGTCAGTAGATTTTTCAAATATGAAAGCTGATCCAGGTTGATTTGATTGAATGACTGATACGCAACAGCTCAATAATAATGTTTTATAAAATTATATGACGGACAGAAGTATCTACTAAGAAAAATGTATTGAAGCATACCTAGGAAGAATGAATTTGAATTCAAGTTTAATCAGCGTTTAATAATTACAGAATTTTGTCAAATAGTTTATAGTATATTCACTGAAATCATCAATCGGTCAATGTTAGACCACCATTTTGAAACTTAAAAGCACTAGATGGCCTTTTCATCCTAGTTTTGAACTTATCATTGGTAAGGATCCATGACCCTCACACCCTGCACTCGAACCCAGGACCTTTGGTCCCACACGTGAACGCTTAACCTACACATAAGTGAACCCGCACCTAACAGTGTTTTAATGTTTAACTTTAGTCAACTCACGAAAATGCGTGACCTTAACCATTGTCTTCAGTGAGTAATTGACTCACACCTGATTCTCTTGAACTCCACTGGTTGTGACTTCTCACTAAGACTCTGTGAACTCCTTCTCGAAGCTAGTCACTAATGAGTACATGATCGATCCTATTATGGAAATCACTGTATATTGATTGAATGGTTGCGAATGAAACTTCAGTGAGAGTCAGTGAACTGAATTCATTCTTCAATGATATATACAAAAAATTACAGAAAGTTAACTGAAATAAATTAACTTTAAATCAATTTGCCAAATTTTAACATTAAGTTTGTTCCTCATTCTTCCTTGTACTACGAGGTTTTGTATCTCAAATATAAGACCTAATTAATGGTATACCCCGTAAACACAAGTCAAATTATTACTCACTATCCTTAGTTGTAAAATCGAATCATTCTGATGCGATTATAACATATCACGTTACATGTCCTTACTAAATAACTAACTAACTTGCTTACTTACGTTACTTAACGTTTTTCTAGCGAGTTAGATCAGCAGTAACCCTGGAAGAGCTGCAGGCTGACTTACGTTAAATGTACAATTCATCAAAACATTTATCTCCGATGCTGATTTTCGGTAATTAGTATTCTTCAGTAGCGTTTTTATTTATATTGTCTTATTAAGTAATTTTCAACATTTTCATGACTCAGCTTATAGCCACTAAATATATTTACCTATTTTCATTCAGTTTGCGTACATTAATAATGAACAGTTAAAAGATCATCAGTATGTAGGGTTTGTAAAGATTGTAGAATTTATTTTGGTCCACACCATTTATACTACTAACAATAATATCCTTACTACTAATTAATTTACAGAGATAATTTTCAGGGTTTTGATGAAAACAATTCATAATCATTGGAATACAGTCTTGTCAAGTGTAAGGCAATTATCCACCAATATTATGTAATGATTGAGGTTAGACATGTAAGCTGTCAGATGGAAACTCAATGGTTCGAAGGTTTGAAGTGCCTGTTATGAGAAATTAAAGTTCCATGTTCACTCCTCAGTAAGGTCATGGATGCGTACTGCTAAAAAGGTTCATATGAGGATGAAAGAGATGATCAGTGATTCCTGGCTTTTTTTCAATCGTTATCACAAAAACAACAAAAGATTATGCCAGCAGTTATAGTGTTTATGCATATATATATATATGATAGTACTTCTTTGTGAATAAAATCACTAAGCTAAACTAATCTGTGTTTTTATCTAATTTCTCAAAGACAGCTTTCCAATAATTTCATTTAAGAATTTAAGTAGCTGGCTCAATGTTAAATGTTATTTAGTATAACAGTGAATGACATTGAGTCAAATGAGACATTCGTTAAAGTGTATTACAAATGAGGTTTAAGTGCATAGCGGTTTCACATCAAATCATGATGAGTTGGAACACCGTCTTATGATATCGTAATGTAAATGTATCGATGAACCCAACTTTTACTCTATCATTTCAGCACATGGAGAGTTGTCTCACTCGTCTTCTTCGATTTGCCTCGCGTGCATACACGCTTTCTATTATCATGTCTGTCTGCTCAAATGAATACATAAAATAAATTCATCCGGAAAACCGTATTTGGTTTCTTACTACTACCGTCGCACAAACAGGGTTTGCCTAAGATGATATACGGACATGGACAGGAAGATTTATTGCATGGCACACTCGATCATTCGTCCACACTACAGTTCACTCCTGAGTCACTAAAATGGTGAGCCTCACGTGATAGTCTGAGAATATTCGAGGATTATCGAGAATTCCCAAAGTCGAACATGACGCAACGTGAAGAGCTACGTTGATGGAGAAACTCTCGAACTCAATGTATTAGACGAACAAATCAACACATCAAACTCAATGAGCAAGGAAACGCTTTTGTCAGTCGTATTCAGTTTTATTTGTACAGCATACACAGATGTATGTATGAATATGTTTTCCATACACAAACTCAAGCTTACACGTACTCGTAAGTGCATCTACAATATCGAAATGTAAATGCATCGATGAACTCATTCTTTACTCTATCATACTTAATATTCATTTTTCTTTAACAACACTATCTATGAAATAAATATACAAGTGTAATTACCTTTTAAACAAATATCTGAAATTGTAAATGTCTCTCGTTTTTTCAGTTAGTTAAATTTATTTATACCGAAAAAAAATTTACACTGATTAGTCAAACACAAACTATTAAAAATAAGAAGTCCCAATGGTTTTAAGTTTAAAACATTGTTTTCAGTTCATCGTGTCTTTTAGATGATACTCTTCCATTGCCTTTTTTTTTGAGAAAAAGTAACTGTCAGTTCCACTCTACTGATAACCAACCTCATGTCTAAATCCTCCTCATTCAGGGAAGAAGCATAAGAATGAGAATGCAACCAATGCGAAATAATAATAATCATAACCATTTCGTTTTCGATTCAACAATAACAAAATATAACAATTTGTTGTTGTCTTAATAGTGTTTTCCTCCAAATAAATTTCTATAATAATAATAATAATAATTAGCGTAAATTCTTAGTTTTCTAGAGAAATACAAAATCTCCATTTCAATGTTTCACTGGAAAACTTAATTGATCATTTAACGATGCGTGGCGCTAATTTTAAAATTTATTTAAAATTCGTATTTTCTTTTTTTATGTTATACTTTATATTTTGTTTTTTTTCGTTGTTGGTAAAATACAAAAACGATTTATTTATTTATTCCCATATGATGTAAAGTCAGAGAGAGAGAGAGCGAGAAAGTGGGAGAAAGAATGTAGATAAGGGGTACTGTCAGATGTGTGTATATTGCTGCAATTACTTAATAAATGAATGAAATAGAGGGGAAAAAAAATACTGTGTCATAATAGTTT